TTCAGATCTGACCATGAAAGAGGGAGGGGAAGAGAGGAAGAGGGATATCTGAAAATAGGAATTCTTCACAGAGGCAGTTGCGGGAAAGGGACCTTGAGCTCCCAAAATCCCTGATTTTGTGCAAAGGAGCAGAGTAGATTTCACCAAAATATGATGATTGAAAGGATGAGGAGAGAAAGGAAGGGAAAGACTTGGCAAAATGGGATGGAAGCCATTAGGGTTTCTTGGAAAAAGATAGCTTCTAGCGGCTATAAATAGGGCCTCTTCTACCCAACAAAAATCGTCCACAACCAGAGAGCAAGCTTCCTCTCTTACTTTCAAAACCAACAATTTTCGTTCTTAGTTCATCTCCTTCCTCAGTTTCCTTTCTTGCCATGCTGTTCTAACACTTGACAGAACCACTATCAAGCTGCTGGAAAAGGCACTCAAGCTACCTTTTTCTTCCTTTCCTTCATTCACAACCAAACCTCTCCTACTTTCAATATCATTTATCTCCTATCTTAATACCCATATTTCCCCAAAAACACTTAATTTTCTCTTTGGTGCTAAGCTCATGGCACCTTTACTCCCATGCCACAAGCCTCTCATGCCAAACTAAGATTCTACCTGTAAGCACTAAGAAATTATCTGTAAGCAGCCATTATTTTTGTTGGTGAAGGTAACCAAAGTGTTTCCTAAGGCTTTACTATCCTTTCAAAACATTTTGAGGTCTGATCTTTGAACTCAGATACAGGGGATATTTTCTTCAGTTTGCTCCTTACGGCAGCCCAGCCCACTTGGTAGCTGCCAGAAGAAAAAGGTCCCTACAAATGGCATATGTTGTAATTTTAAGGTTCTTTAATTATATTATGGTAAAAGTAGGTACTATATTTTGGATTTTGGCTTTATACTAATTAGCTGAAATTGAAGGGAAATAGCTTAAAATGCCACCCATTTCATAATTTTAACTAAAAATACCACTCCTTCCCAATTTTTTTACAACTATCACCTATAAATATAAAATTATTGTCCACTTATTGCTGATTTTTCACAAGTTCAGAAATTTTGTTCTCTCTTAGCTCACTCAGCTCTCTCTCTCTCTCTCTCTCTCTCTCTCTCTCTCTCACAGCTCTCTTTCTCTTTGGTATCTGTCTATCGTAGCTCTTTGTGTCTCTCTTGGCTCTCTCTCTCTCTAGCGCAACTCTCTGTCTCTCTCTTTGCTCTCTTTCTCATAGCGCAGCTCTTTCTCTCTCTAGCTTCGTTATGTCTCTTTCTCCCCCTATTCGGTCTCTTGCTCTCTGTTAGGAATCGCGAACCCCTCCCTTTAGGTATGTCTTTTGAATAGCTGCTTGCAACCTTGAAGCTCTAGTGGATTGCCGACCTCGAAAAGGTAGTGTTGATGGTTATTTTCTTAATATAAGTGGGATTATGTGAAATGGGTTATATTTTGATTGTTTGGGTTTGTGTTAAATTCGTTTTGGCTTTCATTGTTTTGGGTTAGGTTTTGTTGAATATTCAAGCTCATTCATCTGGGTTTGTACCAATTGCACCTCTTCGTTATGTCTCTTTCTCCCCCTATTCGGTCTCTTGCTCTCTGTTTGGAATCGCGAACCCCTCCCTTTAGGTATGTCTTTTGAATAGCTGCTTGCAACCTTGAAGCTCTAGTGGATTGCTGACCTCGAAAAGGTAGTGTTGATGGTAATTTTCTTAATATAAGTGGGATTATGTGAAATGGGTTATATTTTGATTGTTTGGGTTTGTGTTAAATTTGTTTTGGCTTTCATTGTTTTGGGTTAGGTTTTTTTGAATATTCATGCTCATTCATCTGGGTTTGTACCAATTGCACTTAGATTGGTCTGGATATGTGAATCTTGATGAGATAGCTCCGAATGGAATTACACCCTGAGAGAAATCATTATTAAAGACAGACAAACCTTAATATTTGCTACTTAATTGCAAACGTGGGTTAGGGTAGTTGGCCAGGGCAGGGAGCCCATCCCCTTGCACCCAAGTTTGACTACCCCTCCCCATAGATTAGATTAGTTTAGAGTAGTTTAGAATCTCGTTTGTATCCCACCCCTTGCACCCAAGTTTGAGTTCCCCTCCCCGTAGATTGGATAAATTTAGAGTAGTTTAAAGGTTTGTCTGTCTTTAATAATGATTTCTCTCAGGGTGTAATTCCATTCGGAGCTATCTCATTTGCAATATGTGTTTTTTAATTTAGGGGTTTCAGATACTATTATTTCAGCAACTGGAATCTTGATAGTTAAATCCTTAATATTTGCTATTTAATTGCAAACGTGGGTTAGGGTAGTTGGCCAAGGCAGGGAGCCCATCCCCTTGCACCCAAGTTCGAGTACCCCTCCCCATAGATTAGATTAGTTTAGAGTAGTTTAGAATCTCGCTTGTATCCCACCCCTTGCACCTAAGTTCGAGTCCCCCTCCCCGTAGATTGGATAAATTTAGAGTAGTTTAGACTCTCGCGTGTATCCAAAAAATAAATTTAAGTCATGCCAGTTTCTTGCAGGGTCTAAAAGAAATTGCAGAGTCTTTGTCTGGAACTTTGACGAAGTGAACTGATGCTATTGTGCAAGATGATATTGAAGGTCCAGGAATTAAAACGGAAAACCTGCTGAGGTTTGAATAAGAACTCTTTTATCTAGTATTTACATCATTCTTGAACATT